GTTAGGCCCCAGAGTTTGTGTTATCGTTTTCAGGGCATTTTGGTCATTTATGACCCACAGCCACCAGATGTCAGTTTTAAACAGGTTTCGACCCGGATTCCAAAGTGGAAATTGGATCAGGTTGTTTCATATAAGTACAGTGTTTACTTGGGAAAAATACATTTGTCCAACTTTCTTTGGGTATAGTGTCCAGAAATTCCAAAATGGTATCACCACCATCTTTTTTCATTTTCATGCACACGCCAAGGGCAACCTTCATTTTGTTTATTCACACATTCTGCTGTCAATCGCTTCAAATCATTTTTCACATATACAAACTTAAACTCCTTCTCAAATGCATATTTGCACAATTTGATCCTAAACTCAGGAACCCCCTTCATATTTTTGCCCAACTTCACTAATAAATGTTTTCCACTCATGAGACAAATAGAGTTTTGATTTGTTTGCAGCATACTTACCCAAACATTCATTCTCATCAGTTGAGTTACTATCTTCATTGTCTGATGAATCAATATCATCCTCTACACTTGTGCCAGATGATGAACCTCCACCACTAACAATATCTATATCCACCAATTTTTTTGTTTTCATTGGATACAAATATGTGCAAAAACGAACATTCATGTCATCTTGCAATAAACATGATGAGTGATTTCCAATTGTGTACGTCAATTTCGCATGAATTCAACTCTTTAAATCGAGAGCAAATTTGACTGCATAAGTCCATGTACTTGGTATCCTTGAAAGTCAATAGTGAATAAGGGGCTGTTCGGTAGCATATTTAGAGGCCCGTTTTCATTTTCTGAGCCGAAATATGGATAAAAAATGTGTTCGGTGGATTGTTGACAAAAACGTAGAAAATAAGTTGGGAGAACGAATTCACACGTAAAGTGTAAAACGTGAAAACGCCAAAATGACATTTTCTCCATTCTCAACTCAAAATTAGAGAACGGAGAAAACATAGAGAAAATAGAAACACGCTTCATCTATGTCGCCCTTCATCTTCGTCTTCGTCTACATCCCTTCTTCTAAGTTTGAAACATAAATTCCTTGCTTCTCACTTTTGCAATCTTCCTACACACTCTCTTGGAAGATCTTGGTAAGAAAAATTTATATAAAATATTTCGTTTCAGACTTGGGTTTTTCTATATAGTGTATTTGAAACTTTTCTTCTCAGATTTCGTTTCATACTCTCTCGGAAGATCTTACTACTCAGCCTTTTGGAAGATTTGGTACGAAATTATTTATATATATATATATTTATGTTTAGATTTGGGTATGAAGACTGGTGTTATTTTTGTTATTTGGGGTTGTCCTTATGTTTAGATTTGGGTATGAAGAATCTGGTTTTCTGTTTACTGTAATTGTAGTAAACTGGTTTTACATTTTCTGTGGTTCAATTGAAATAGTATTGCTCTCTGCACTATTGTCTGTGATTCTATTTTCTGTTTTTTGTCAGATATTGCTTATGATTTGGGGTTCTCAAGTAGTAGAGCTTGAAGAACTTAACTTTACATGTTCACCTTCCTATCTAATTTCTGGTTTGATATTGTGATAGCTTTCGTGTATATATAACAAGAATCCTCTAAAATATTGAGAATTTATTATCTTTGCTCATGTGTTAGGAAAGTAGGAAAGACAGCCAAAAAAGTGAGCTTCAAATTTGCCATGTTTCCTTCATCTTTGGAAATTACATGCCTTGTTCTAATATGATCTTCTGAATGATTTCATTTTGGATTAGTGTGTGTATGATAACTTTTATGTTCTTTTACAGTTTGAGTTTGAGCCTAAAATAAGAACATAAAGCAATCTTATATTTCCCTAAGCCAAGAGAAAATGCCTTATTGTTGTGCAGCTTTCCTGAGCTCCTATTAAATACTATATATATTATATGTTTATATTAACTTGTATTGAGCAGAGTTGTAGGTTTATGTTTGCATCATAGACTTGTAGTGCATTTGCTACAATATAAATTATATTTCCTTCAATGCATCACAGGATTTGCTGCAATGCATCATAGACTTCATTGTTAAAGAAACCATTCTATGTGGTCACAATGCATCATAGACTTTTAGTGCATTTGCTACAATATAAATTAGATTTTCTAGGAAGATATCCTATTACTAGCAATTACTACCTGCAAAATCTCAATTGAGAAATAACACATGAACAATGATAAAAAATGTATGGCCTAGTTTAGGTGGTGACATGAATTATGACCTTTTTATGTGGCCACATGATGGATTACATGATTGAAGTTTGTCATAATTTTGTTTCTTTAAAAGGATATGGCCTCCAAGAATGTTGACGGTCAAGAAAAAATGTCATGGCCTCCAAGACATGAGACAATATTCATACATCTATTGCATGAACATGTGAAGAAGGGTGACTTGCAGACATCAACTTTTAAAATGAAAGTTTGGGCAGAAATAAGTGATGAGTTGTATGCACAATGTGGACTAAAATGCACTATTCCACAACTTAAATCTAACTTTAATAGATTGCGAAAAGTGCATCGGTACTTCTCAGACTTGATTGAGCATACAATATTTGGGTGGGATCCTATTGCAAACACAGTGACTGCCTTAGAGGATGTTTGGGCAAGTTATTTGAAGGTATTATAATAATGTCATATAGCAAGTCTTTGTATTATTAGTTTTAATTGACTCCTCGTATAAGAATTGGTTGTGACATTTGATATAATATAATTTTCATGGTTTGTAGAGTAAGCCAAAAGCGAAGCAATTTCGCACGCAAGACTTAGAGGACTATCAAGTTTTAGGGGAGATATTCAACACTACTATTGCAACCGGGCGGTTGCATTATGCCTCTAGTCAACTTCCTCCTAACTCAGATGATAAACGTGAGTTAGAAAACAACTTCCTTAACACCGGAGTTCACATCGATGTTGACTTGGATGATGATGGTGACAAGCCTCAACTTGTGAGTGGTAAAGGAAAAAGGAATGTGCAACTGCCATTGCACATGAGCGTCTTCCAAAGAAATGGGATAAAATTGAATCTTATTTGGATGTTTGTAGTGAAGTTATGAGTCAAAAATTACAACAGGAAAAGGAAAAGAGTCTTGAGGCATCTAGCACCTCTAAGGAGATGTATTCGATTGAAGAATGCATAGAAATTTTTGAGACAATGGGAGACATTGATAACGATACATTCAACAAGATGCTAGAAAAGATAGTGCTTATTGAATGGAGGAAAATCTTTGTTACAATGCCAGCAGCTAGGAAGAGAGCTTGGTTGGCTAGTCTTTAGGATTACTATTTATGTTTGTTGTTGAGAGGATATTTATGAATTGTTCTTATTATTATGTTTGATTTTGTGACTTTAATTTTTATGCATATTTATGGATGTTTGTGACTTTAATTTGTAAGCATATTTACAAAGTTTTGTGACTTTAATTTATATGCATATTTCCAGATTTTTTGTCTACAAGGAATGAAGACAATCACTTCGATAGTGATTCAGATCTTGAAGAAATGGCGCAACATATGATAATTTGTATGCATATTTATGAATATTGGCAATCATATGTAGATAGAATGCCATGTCATAACTCTGTTTTATATGGGCATGAATATGTTCAAGAATTGTTGAATGGGCATCCAGATAGAATTTATGACTCGTTTCGCATGGACAAACATGTATTCCGAAGGCTGTGTTATACACTTGAAAGTTTAAATTTGCTACAGAATGATAGACATGTGAGTACTCAAAAGGCAGTGGAAATTTTCTTATTTATAGTGTCTCATAGTATCCACATTAGGCACCTATACCATAGGTACACTATTAGAGTTTACCTGTAAGAGAGATTCATAAGTACAAATTTTGAAACAGAGAACCTTAAATTGTTACTTAAGTTTCAAAACTGAGAATGCACTGCCACTAAAACAGAGAACGACTAACCAAATTTTGACTATTATTTTGACATTATTTACTTATCCCTTCTATCCCTAGAAAGGTTCAACTGTGTATTGTGAATCTACACTTATAATGGACAACATTGCGATACAGGTGTTACTCTCATTCTCGATTTTTTGGGTTTAGCTCCTATCGTATAGGTAACCTCATGTCGCATAGGTAATCGCTGACACTGTAACTATATCACATGTATATGCCAAAAGTTTATGGGATGCCATAGGTACATTGTCAAACAAGGACATAGCTTAAGAATTAATCTGGTAGATACATCAAGTTCCCAAACTCTCACAAGTTGCTTTTGGAGACTTGGATGCTTCTCTTGGTTCCTCTCAAAGAAAACTTTATGTGTGTGTGTGTGTATATATATATATATATTGGGCAAGAAGAAAAGACTGGTTCTTCTTGCAAACAAGATTGATGGATGAAAGCTCCAATTGGGAAGAAAAGAAGTCTCTTGACTTTTAGAAAAAAAAATGGCTACTTGTTCTGGACCTCCACTACATACTTAGTGCTATGTTATTAGCCTCACATCACCAATAAACAAATGATAATCAAATGCGCGCACACACATACTCAATAAGAAAATTAGATTTGAGATATGATTATAACAAGAAAATTAATGATAATAAAAGTAGAGAAAATTAATGTGACCAAAAAGGAAGACTGTATATATGCAAAATTGCAAAATCTTTACATGATCTCCATCCCAAAGTAAAAATATTGGGACCACTTGGAAACCTCATTTACTAAAGAAAAAACCCTTGAGCACCATCATTCATGCTTTACATGAAGAAAATTAGCATAAAAAGACAAGGAGCCTAGGACCCCACTTTGAGCAATGTGGAAAGAACATTGGATTTCTAATGTAAGTGCCTTTCACTGTTGCAAAAACTAGACTACCAAACAAAACTAAATCAACTATCAAAAAACCAAAAACAGAGCTGCTACTGACCTTTGCAAAAGAGTGATCCTAAGTAACTAATTGTGAGAAGAAGTTGCATAACCAGCTGCCCCATACTGATCTGTACCTTCTTCAAACTCCATAACTGGAAGCTCATTTTCACTTCAACATTTCTAATTTCAGAAATTTTTTATGCACCAGACCTCAAAAACAACATCTAATTAAGCAAAACAATTAATGAGCCATAGTTACAAATTTCCAACAAAATGATTCACCAATTAACTAGTGAGCCAATATGGATTACTAACACCATTCACACGGATAAAATTTTGTTAAAACGACATTTGACCAATTACCTATACAACAAGGTTTAGTTTAGGCAAACCCAGTTATGATCTTTATCTATTAGCCAAAACCCCAACACCTACGAATTAGTTATGATCTCTGTCTATTAGCCACCAATACCTACACACGAGTTATGATCTTTGTCTATTAGCCAAAACCCCAATTACCTGTACGACAGGAAATAAGATGTCTGAGATTTTGGAAAACCCAGTTATGTTCTCTAATCTAACTTGAAGATATAGAAAAACAAGAACTAAGACGTCTAAGAATTTTGAAACCTTGTGGCTACGTCTCAGTTTTCTACAACGAAAGAGCATGACTATTTGGCATCAACCGTGATTTTGGCGATCTATCATTCTCCCTCCTTCAATTTTCGAGTATACATAATGGCAGGAGTTGTAAATACATAAAAATTGGTGGACATAGTATTTGCTTAGGTGGCTACACGACCTTGAGGACTGGAATTAATAGGTAGCAACTAGTGTCCTGCAATCAAACTATATTTCTGAAATTGGACCCATATCTCCGAGCCCCTAATAATTATATCTCTAAGCAAATTATCAGAGTCACATGTACACTTTGTGAAGCAGTTGGATGATATATATGTCCCAAATAGTGCGAATGAAGCACTAGAAGACTCAAAATGGAAAGAAGTCATAAATGAAGAAATGAGAGCCCTCCAGAAGAATGCCACATGGGAGCTCGTACATTTACCTCACGGAAAGAAGACAGTGGGATGCATGTGGATCTTTACTATAAAACTTAAAGCAGATGGATCCATTGAAAGATATAAAGCTAGATTGGTGGTGAAGGGGTATACAAAATGGTATGGGGTGGACTATCATGAGACCTTTGCCCCAGTAGTCAAGATCAACATTATCAGAGTAATACTATCCCTAGCAGCAAATCTAGATTGGCCACTACATCGATTCAATGTTAAAAATGCATTCTTACATGGAGACTTGGAAGAAGAGGTATACACAGATTTACCACCAGGATGTAATTTAGCTTCTGATAAGAAGAATCAAGTTTGCAAACTCAAAAAGTCATTATATGGGTTAAAACAATCTCCTAAGGCATGGTTTGGAAGATTTACTAAGTCCATGAAGAATTTTGGATACACTCAAAATAATTCAGACCATACCCTCTTCTTGAACCATGATGGAGGATAAATCACTGCATTAATTATTTATGTGGATAATGTGATTGTAATTGGAAACAGCGCATGAGAGCAACATAAGCTACAAAAGTATTTGTCTTAGGTATTTGAGATGAATGATTTAGGTGCTCTGAAATACTTCCTCGGAATTGAAGTAGCAAGGTCAAACACTGGTATTTTTATGTCTCAAATGAAGTATGTGATGGATCTACTCACTGAAACAAGAATGCTTGGATGTAAGCCTGCTGACACACCTACTGAAATGAATCACAAGTTATGTGAAGACACGGACGGTTTGCCAAACCAATAAGGAATAATACCAGCGCCTTGTTGGAAGATTGATATATTTGGCACACATAAGACCAAATATTGCATGTACTGTGAGTGTGGTTAGTCAGTTTATGCATTCACAGAGTGTTTCTCATAGAAGTGTAGTTGATCAGATCTTAAGATATTGAAAGTCAGCCCCTGGAAAAGGGTTAATATGCTCAAAGCATGGAAATCTTGAAGTTGTTGGATATACAGATGTTGATTGGGCTAGTTCCATTATAGATAAACGCTCTACATTGGGTTACTTTACATTCGTTGGAGGTAACCTAGTCATTTGGCCGAGTAAAAAATAAAATGTGGTTGCTTGGTCTAGTGCAGAAGTAGTGAATCAAGGTATGGCTCAAGGAGTTTGTGAATTATTGTGGATTAGAGGACTCTTGACCGAATTGGGTTTTAAACTAGAGAAGCCAATGAAGTTACATTGTGATAACAAGTCAGTGATCGATATTGCCCATAATCCAGTTCAACATGATCGAACTAAACATGTTTAGGTGGATAGACATCCTATCAAAGAAAAAATTGAGAACAATATCATTAGGAGATATTCTCATAATTAATTACTGTATCTATTTCCTTATAAAGCGCCCTTGTAAAATCCTATATATACCCTCTTATGGAGAATAATACAATTAACCTAAAGTATTCAAACTGTCACATCCCGGATCGGCTCTGCCGTAGTACGATGTTGTCTGTTTTGAGCCCCCGCCCTCACGGTTTTGTTTCTGGGAACTCACGAGCAACTTCCTAGTGGGTCACCCCTTAGGATTGCTCCAACCCAAACTCGCTTAACTTCGGAGTTCCCATGGAATCTGAAATCAGTAAGGTCCCAAAAAACCTCGTGCTAGATGGAGGTGGGCATGTACATATAAGGCACATCACCCCCTATTCGTTGGTTGATGTGGGATGTTACAATCCATCCCCGACGTCCTCGTCGGCACACTCACACCATACGGTAGAGTGGCTCTGATACCATTCTGTCACATCCCGGATCGGCTCCACCATAGCACGATATTGTCCACTTTGGGCCCCCGTCCTCACGGTTTTGTTTCTCGGAACTTACGAGCAACTTCCTAATGGGTCACCCATCCTGGAATTGCTCTAACCCAAACTCGCTTAACTTCGGAGTTCTCATGGAATCCGAAGCCATTGAGCTCCCAAAAGGCCTTGTGCTAGATGAAGGTGGGCATGTACATATAATGCACATCACCCTCTCTCTGTTGGTCGATGTGGGATGTTACACAAACCATATTCATATGTTAGCATGATGCATGCGGATGAAGTAATGAATTTGCTTAAAACCGTATTGAGAAAGAAAGATTACTGAAAGATGAGAGATTGGAATCCAAAAAAATAAAGAAAAAGAGAATAAAGAGAAATAGCGGTGGTGGAGTTGTATTGGGTTGTGATACCTTCCACCTCTAGGCCCACAACCTCCGCCGCTGCAAGTACTTCGCCGCCCTCTTATCCGATCAATGGCTGGTAAGGTTTTGGTCCATGTGGCTTCAAGACCCACATCCACCATAACTAGTCACAACCTCTTCGATCAACCCGAAAGGCGAGGAAGTATCAATCTCCTCCCTCAAGCACCCCCACCTTATCCCAGCGGAGTAAGGGACATGGAAGCTCACCCTCCTTTTCTCTGTCTTTAAAACTTATTCTTAAAATGAATGAATTTTTTAATAATTTGTTGACCGAATTGTCCCTTAACAAATAACATAAGTTAAAAAGATTTGATAGAAATTGAGGATTGTACTTTAATTGCTTCAAATTGAAACCATAGGGACCAAATTGACCAAATTGATACGACATGGATGAAAGTGGTAAAAGTGGCAAACTATAGGGACCAAAAATGACTTTATGCCATATTATTTCAAAGTGTTTATAGGAAAAAAAAAATCATATGAATAATACACTTCTTGTAAAAGCGTTGTTGTAACCTCATATATTTTCTCCACAAGAAGGAAAATACATATCATAATATTATAATATTTGCTTGATCCTACTTATACTCTAACAACCTAAATCTTACGTAACAAGTGTTGCCTCCACCACCATGGGAGACAAGAACATGACTTCTATCCCTACCCCAAGACACCTACAACAAACTTCATTAGTCCTACTTCCGTTGTGAACATACAACATGAGTCATATCATGACATGTGAACAATATAAACTTGTTAGATCATACTGTAGAGGAATTCTAATTGACTTCACCGTGATTTCCATAGGTAGAATGGCGTCGTGCTCATATGTTAAAGCATAAGGTGTCGTCTTAGTGGTAAATCTTTTTGAAGTTCTATATGTCCATAAAGTTTATGACAATTTTTCATGTCATTCTCTCGGGTTGTTCTAGCATTTTCCTTATGATATTGATCAAAATTTTGTTGCTAGATACTGCCTGGCCTTTAGCTTGAGCATAATTGGGTATGAAGGTGTGAGAGCGCTGTGGTTTGGGATTGTTGGATTGACCAATTATCCCACCTTTCTCCTTCTAAGATAAGAATTCGTTTGTGATAATAGGTTGGGTGTAAAGCTTCATGGGGATGTGATTCAATGTGGTTGTGCATCTACTTTGTTTGGGGTTGGGGCCAACTTGGGTGGCTGTGATGGAGGTTGGGTTATAGGGAGGTGGTGACTGGCTAGGGTTGGGGGGCAAATGGGTTGAGAGGAGAAGGGGTGAGAGAGTATTTTAATTTTAAAATTTTCCTTTTTAAAATATTTTTTTATATAAATATTGTTTATTTAAAAGCAACGAATTTTTTAAAATAATTTATGAACCAAAATGCTCCTCAAGAAATAACGGCAGTTAGAAGAATTTAACATAAATTGGGCCATGTCTTTGAATTGCTTGGAATTGAAAAATCACATGGATAAAGGTGAATAAATTGAAATCATATGAACCTTAATGATAACAAAAACAAACCACAATAACCAAAAGTGACTAAATTTCTTTATGCGACAAAATTATTACGCAAGTCGCATATTTAAAATAAAATAAAATGGACTTTTGACTGAGAAGCGTAAGACACCGGGTGCATTTTTGCTCACCACTTTAACCCTAGGTGTACCCTCACCACCCCTGCCAAAAGTTGACACATGTCCATTAGTTTAACTGTAGTTAATTCTTTATTTTTTATTTATTTGATAACATTATTATGAGAGAGAAACAATACTTCAATAAGATTTTTCCTGATTTACCCTTATTAACCTAGCAAACTTTCCACCTTTCTAAATTAAATTAGGAAAATGCTAGGGAGACCAACTTTAGATACCAACTTGTGTACCATCTCTCTTATAGAGTGTGAGACCCATTGGTGGGCTCTACTTCTATTAGAGAGATAGTACACAAGTTGGTATCTAAAGTTGGTTGTCCTAGTATAACCCAATTAATTAACAACTACCCAAATAAATAATTGGCAATTGGCTTTATATCCCGTGCTTTAATATGAATATCAATTCACAGGCTTCAATACTTTGAATAACACACCCAGATACTTTGAATCTCAATTGGCTTTAGTTAACTCCTTTTATACACGCCCAAAAGTTACACTGTTCTTCAGTATATTATTACGTTGCAATTTCTCAATATCCTTGAATCTGTTTTCTTTCTTCAACCGATGAGTTACTTATGATGTTGCAAGTTCTGGACTAATTAATTCTGGTTTTATTATTCTGAATAAAGCTTACTCCATAGGAGCAAAATATATTGGAGTTGCAGAAATTCCAAAAACGATGAAGGAACCAAGCTCTGCAATAATACCCTTCATTGTCTCATTACTCTGGCTCTGCAGTATGGTTCATTCTATCATTCCTTTCTGTGCTAGTCTTGATCCACCAGACATACCAACATCATGGACTAAAAAAACTAAATAACGCAGAGCAATCACCAAAGTATAAAAAATAATCAAGCAATACAAGGTACTAAAAAAAAGAAGAAAAAAAAAGCAACATAGATTATTACCTATCTTTCACTGAACAAATGGAGGAAGCTTGCAATTGAAGAGCAGCATAGATTATTATTTGGGTAGTTGTTAATTAATTTTAGAAAAGTGGAAAGTTTGCTAGGTTAATAAGGGTAAATCAGAAAAAATCTTATTGAAGTACTGTTTCTCTCTCATAATAATGTTATCAAATAAATAAAAAATAAGAATTAACTATAGTTAAACTCATGGACATGTGTCAATTTTTGAGAAAGGTAATGAGGGTACACCTAGAATTAAGGTGGTGAGTAAAAATGCACCCGTAAAACACCTCCTATAACGCGACAATTGAAATTGCCAGAAAAGGGAAAGTGAAACGTTCTCTCCCACCGAATAAATAAGCTTAGGGATATCTGGTGGAGTGTTCATTTTTGTCTTGGCAGACCAAAAAGGAAAAAATAAAAGAAAAAAACCTTCATATTTGTCTTCTTGCCATTGTGCCACTTGGTTAATTCCTGGGGCCCCCAATCAATGTGTAACTAAAAAGTGAATTTCATATACACATTGATTTTATTTATATATATTACATGTGCATACGAGGATCCAGCCTCACCCACATCTAGCCAATCAAAGTTCTCACTTCTATTGCTCCTCATCACCTCTCCAATTCCCTCTTCACTCATTTCTTATCTGTCATAGATCAAACTCAAAACTAACCAACACAACACTCTCCATATCTCTAAGCCCATCTCCTCCCTTCCCCTTTGGCCCTCCTAACTTCTCCTACTTCTCCTCTTCTTCCTCCTTCACCACCACCACATACACAACTCTCTCTCTCTCTCTCTCTCTCTCTCTCTATGGCAACCAATTCTTTCCAATCCGTATACCACAATCACCACTCACTCCTCAACCACCACCACCACAACCAACAAATAGAGATTGCTCCTTCCACCCTCTCCTCCACTCTTTTCCTCAAACCCAACACCACAAACACCCCAAACACCATAAGCACTTCTTCTCTCTCCTCCACCAAAACCTTCTCAATCTCACCCACCACTTCACTCTCCACACCCTCCTCCACCCAAGCCATCTCCTTTGACCTCCTACAGCAGCACCTCTCCGCCCAAAACTTCCGTGAAGCGGACGAAGAAACCCGCCGCCTCCTCATCGTCCTGGCCGGAGAACAAGCCCAGAAGCGAGGCTACGTCTTCTTCTCCGAGGCCCAGTTCATCTCAGAAGCCGACCTCAAGGCCATTGACGACCTCTGGAGGCAGCACAGCAACAACAAATTTGGGTACAGCGTCCAGAGAAAAATATATGGCAAAGTGAGCAATGACTTCACCAAATTCTTCATTAAGGTTGGGTGGATGAAGAAGCTGGACACAGAAGTTGAGCAATTCAACTACAGAGCCTTCCCCAATGAGTTCATCTGGGAGCTCAACGAGGACACACCAGAAGGACATCTGCCATTGACGAATGCTTTGAGAGGTACCCAGCTGCTCAAAAGCATTTTAGAGCATCCTGCTTTCAAGCCCACAGAGGAAGAGCTGCTTCAGGCTAAGGCTGCAGGTGAAGACATGGGCAGTGGAGTTACAGGGTTGAAAGGGTTTATCGATGGCTCCAAAAGCAAAAGAGTGCTCAAATCAGACTATAGCTTTTGAATTTGAAATATGATCAATTTGAATGTTCTGGAACTTACCCAGTATCAATATTTGCACAGGAAATTAAAATGACATTTGGGGTTTTTGTAACAATTAATTAATGTGCTTGGCTCATGATTGCTTCTACTTTTTATTTTATTTTATAATTTTTAACATTTTTGTGTGTTAAATGAAATAATATTATTTTGTTATTTTCGGTTCCGTGATAGGCTGTGACAGGGAAAATCAAACATAAATAATATTTTATGATTGATCAAAAATAGCAAAATAGTAATTTTACACAAGTGTTTCTCCTCAAAAAACATGATTTAAGTGAAAATATTATTGTTTATATAAAACATGAATGAGCAGCAGATGCAGAGCAGAAGACTTTGGGAAATGTGCCCAATGGAAAGCAAACTGCAAATGTGTAGAACTATACAGGGCGTTTCATTTTGGCGTTTCGAAACGATGGAGAAGACACATCAAAATCAGACCCTGCCCTTCTCTGTCTTGCTGGTTGTCGTTTTGTGATATTTTTATATTGGCCTTGTAAATGGGAAGCTGGGATGGAAAAATGCTGCTTTTGCTTTTCATATATATATATATATATATATATGCCATATTCTTGGTAAAACATGCGTGGCATATAAATTATTAGAGTTAATTATCTTATTAGTCTTTAAATTTAGATTTGATTTGCATTTAGATCTCTCAATTTTCAAAATTGTTCCCTTAATCCTTTAACTTCACTTTCGTTAGAACAAATGGTCATGCCGTCAATTTTGTTAACTTTTTCTGTTAAATGTAGGGGCAAAATTGTAGTTTTAAATTAAAACTAAAAAAATGAATAAAAATTCATATATTTAAATAACAATAAAAGAAATTCAAATAAAAAACCAACCAAAAATATATATATATCAAGTTTGGGGGAGTAGAAATTGGGATAAAGGGGGAGAGAGAAAGAGTTTAATTTTAATTTTTTATTCATATTTTAATCAATTTTGATACAAAAATACCATTTTGCCCCTCCATTTAACAGAAAAGTTAACAAAATTGACTACAGGACCATTTGTCCTAATGAAACTGAAGTTGAAGGACTATGAGAACGATTTTGAAAATTGAGGGACTCAAATGCAAATCGAGTTTAAGTTCAGGGACTAATAAACGATTAACACAAATTATTAATTTTTTTTAATGGGAAAAATTTTAGGGGGAGATTGGCTACTCTCACCACCAGCGCCAGGGCATATAGTCAACTTCCACTAGAATGACTTATTCATGACACTCAACTACCACCGGTATGGATTTATATAAGAAATTACAAATTACACACCAATGAAGATTGCTGACAACGAGACTCGAACACTTATAGAACTAAACACAATACAAATGAGTGGCATATAAATTAATTACGAAGAAGGAGCATTACAATTTACACGAGACTTGAACATTATAAGGAAGGAGAAGTATGTATTATCGACCGACCGTCCACCAAATTGGGTTGGTCTGAATTAATTTACAAAAGCACAGACATATGGCATTGGTGTCACACTATCTACACATAGATTTTGCTTTATTTGTATCAACCCGTGCTCACATCGCATGCCATTAGATTTTTCTTTATTTAGAATTGCTTTTTATTTTATCTTTATATGTACAAACTTTTGTTGGAAATGAACTCTTATTTCTTTTTTATTTCTTTAATATTTTGAAATTCCCGTGGCACCTTGACAATGTGTGTGTGAAAGAGAAAATTCTCTTCCCTTCCTAAATATGACAAACAAAACAAAATAAAAAACAAAGGCCTTTTGTTTTATACACAAAAAAATTATATATCAAAATTACCCTTCAACAATGACAAATCAATATTCAGATGCCTTTAAAAAAAAATCAAAATTAAGATATCTTACACAATAAAATTAGGGATAATTACAGAAACAACTCGTGAGGTTTAACGGATTTTAACAAATCTCTCTCCACTTTTAAACCCACCAAAAAAAAACCCCAACATGTACACCCCTGACGTAACCCCTTTAGAAGAAAATTTAGGCCATAGAATATAACGTAATGTAGAGAAAAATCTAATGGCATGCGTTGTGAGCACGATATAAATAAAGCAAAACCTGTGTATGATGGTGTGACACCAATGCCATATGCCTGTCCTTTTGTGAACTTAATAACTAAATGTACGCTTTCAGTAAACTAATTTAGCAAACAATTTTTAACCAGTTCAGATTAAAAATGTCTAAACCATTAGAAACTACACTCAAACGTAAATTACAAGACCAATAATACAATTTAGCCACATTTTTTTAAATATCAAATATCCCTCCAAATCTCATCAAATCCGAAGAGCCTAGTACCTTGATGTGTTTACCCTTCGACAAACTAATATTATACATTTTCACCCAAAAATATATATTAACACTGCATGCTCAACAATTATGATCCGTGACTAACACCTAGGAGGCATAGAACACAATGGCGCATGCCCCTCATTCTCTGCGGCCATTACAGCAGAGCCACCGCTTGCTTGCGCTCAAATCAAATACGTTACAATGAGCTAATCTTGCCATTGTAAAACTTGGGGCAAAATGGATTTTGATTTTCCAACTTGGACAAACCAGGCCAAGTGGAATTAGAAATGAAACTTGCATACAAGATACAGAATCCCCACAATTCATGCCTGTGATGGGAAATCCTGCATGTAAAGGAGATAATAAGGCTAAATTCATAATTTGCTTGTTCTTCATTTTCTTTGAAACAAAGGATATATTTCTTTGAAGTCAAGAAATTTAGTTGGGAGCAAATTTAAATCAAAGATTAGGAACAGTGAAAGGGATAGAAGAAGTGGTACAACTTGCCCCACCAACCCAAAATAATAAAGAAAAAGAAATAGATAGAGGTGGAGAGACGCATATGATCAAGAAAAAGAATGATTGATAATGTTCTGTAATTTAAAACAATTGCATATTACATTCTGCAGTTGGGTGCCATTTATCAAAAGCTAATGCAAAAGTAAACTAACTGGTAAAAGCAGCTAACAAGAGGTTCTTTTGCTCATTGCATCATGAAAGATTGTGATATCTGAACTGTTCGAACTTTGAATAATTCTATGTATTGTTACAAAAAATTTCATTAAAATATATATATATATATATATATATATAGCTTCACATCATTACATTAGTTCTGACAATGACATGGGCTTTATAGGTGCTTCAAACCCTTCTGAACTCTCAATATACAGATATCTGTTACTAAATTATTTGTTACAAGTCATGCAAGGTCTTTTCTAATCCCTCAACAGACTTAATTTTCAAATAATACATGTATCGAAAGAAATTGAACTTACCAGCTACTGCACTATGCACAAGGGCACAGTCTCCTGGTATGCTGATGTGAACCATAACAAGAAAGCATTGATTGTGTTTGAGTAAACAAGCATGCTCCAGGATTCTGAAAGTAATAAGCGATATTAATGCTCCATTGAGTGTCATATACTTTGAGCAAAAGAAAAAATGTTGCAAATATTTTTTTTTACTTTTTTCTGGCTTCCTAGGGAAAAAACATGCTAAACAAAAATCTTCCAATAAGATGGTTCTGGTTCCAATTGTTTCTTTTTAGCAAAACAATCAGAACAATGATTGCATCTGAGCTATATGATGTTTAGATCATGGTTTTAAAATTGCTATACTAAATCTTCATAATATTTTGCAAAATTGGCAGGTGTGGCACCAAAAAAAATATAAAAGAAACAAATCCATCGAAGCCAGAGAAGTACTGATTGATTATCAAGGAGGTATGTGGCACAGAGAAATGGAGAGTCTAACCTATCATATTCTTTAACTTTAAAGTAGTTAGTGTGCCACCAAAAGGAAAGAGATCGCTCAAGTGCTGAATCATCATAGGACAGGCACATCTTACATGGGCAATTTCATATTTAAACTAACTGCCAAAGTATGAGCTATCTCAGTTAGGCTCATAAGATATGAGAAAAAGTACATTGCTCTATCAGCAATCTACATAGAATACACCGGACTTATGACACTTGAGTTAAGGCCTTATATCATCATATGTCTATAAAGCCTCATTTCAGCAGCCAAGTAGGTAAGTCCATATGTGAGAACAGTTGTATATCAATAATCATTAAATCATAGTTCAATAGGGTGGGAAAACAACCTCCACAATAAAGGTGTGGTACAAGATCCAAGGCAGTGCATAGGGCACTCAATAAAATTTACAACAAGACAACTATGTGGAAGTTTTGCAATGCATGAACTTTTACACTAAAATAATTACTAGCCAGAAAATGCCTATGTGGTAATAATAATCTCCAGTGACTGAAATTTCTTTGCAGAATTACAACAAATTTTTTAAAGACAGAATGATAGTATCAAAGCTATTGCAGGAAATATGATTCTTTGTATACTAAAACACAATTCCAGAACACAAACTTTAATGCTGAAAAGGAAGTATACCAAATCTTCAGGAGCATCATCAACAACTTCAGCAGGTTGGTCTGGACCAATACTTGCCAGGCAAGTTCCCTTGCAGCTCATATATTTCTGCATACTGTTCAAAACAGAATTACAGAGAATTAAAAAATGGTACAACCACATGCAAAGAAGAAATCTGGTTAACGTTTCCTAAAAGAAAAAAGGTTTTTTAGGTTTTAGACATAAAAATTTTTTCACTTTTGGAAAAAGCCAAAGCTTTTTCAAAAAAGACAAAAAAACCACCCAACTTTCAATCAAAGACATGCAAATGTATTGGATTCCTTAGGAAATCTAAAAATAAATAAGGGCATTTTTGTCCATTTTTGCTTCTTTTAAAAAATTTTTCTCTCCTTTTGCTTTTTCCAAAATGTCCCAAAGAAAAATGAAGGGAAATAAGAACTTTATTGAGAACAAAAAAATACAAAAAGAGAGAGACATGCAGTCCAGCAGAACACCTAAACTACAAACAAAGACTAACCAACCAACAAAGCAAAAACTACCAGAAATGTTTAGACACTAGTATCCATGATGCCTGAAATCTAATTCTATCCCAATGAATCAACACAAGTGTCATTTAAAATGTTACATGGAAAATAATGAAATTAAAAAAAG